AATAAACTGTTTGTTCCAGAAAGTGCAGCATGTGATGACATTGATATGACTGAAAGAGTGATGACACATGGAGATACAACTCCTCTAGAACATGTTGAGAACATACAACCTGAAGAAACTGGACCAACGGAAACAGAGCCACCTAGTAGAGGTAACTGGAAGTCTGAAAGACACAAATTTTCTCCTGTCTGGCTAAAGAATTTTGTTTCCTTAAGCATGAACGAAACAGTAGCCTATCATATGTCCAAATATATTGCTTATGATCATTTGACACCCAAATTTCAATCCTATGTTGCTGCATTGTCTGCATCCACAGAACCTATGAGTTATGTTGAAGCAATCAATAATCCTAGGTGAGTGGATGCTATGAAGGAAGAAGTAAGGGCACTACAACAAAACAACACTTGGGAGCTAGTGAATTTGTCTGTTGGGAAAAAAACCTATTGGTTGTAGGTGGATTTACAAAATGAAGTACAAATCTAATGGTGAAGGGGAGAGGTTTAAGTCTAGGCTGGTAGCAAAGGGTGTTGGGTTTTAGCAAGTGTGAATGGGAAAAGAAAAGAGAGAATATAAAAACTGAGGGAACTACTTTGGAGGAAAATGAAAAGTCATTTGCAAAGTACAAATTAAAAGTCATTTCATTGGATTTGGATTTGGATTTGGCAAATAATGTGATTGATTGATAAATTTTTTGGACAAAATTTATTTAATCAATTTTTGTTAAATCAAATAAATCCTATTAATATTATCTCTTATAAATTTGCGGGTAACGGTAACATTCCGAAAAGTCATTACTTTTCGAAAAGTCGTTACTTTTCAAAAAGTAGTTATTTTCCTAACAGACACAATTTTTCGAAAAGTTGTTATTTTTTCCAAAAGACACAACTTTCTGGATAAAATGGGTCTGAACAGATTTCACTGAACATACATGTTCCTTGCTGAAAATGGCTATCAAAGGAAGTCAATTTTTGATTTTTCAATCACTGAAAATTTTTCTTTCTCTGCATTTATTTTTTCTCTCAAAATAAAATCAAAGTGTCGATCGATTGAGTCTGTGTGACTTGTTGCTGTTCTTCAGTTCGCTGAAGTTAAAGAAGTTTGAGGTAACGCTATTTCTTTAACAGGTTTAATACGTTTTATCTTGGGAGAAATTAATCCATAACCTTGGGTACAGTGAGGGGATTAAATTTCTTAAGGATACACAGTAGTTTCTGTGGACTCGGATTAATTCTTGTATTTTAAATTTTTTCTGCTTCATCTTGTTTCTGTTTCTGTTCATTAACATCATAAATACAATTTATTGTAAGAATAACAAAGGGTTATAGTCAAAAGGAAGAAATTGATTACAAAGAAACATTCTCTAGTGGTGAAAATGAAAACTGTTAGATCAGTGCTAGCTAATGCAGCAATGAAACAATGACATATCCATCAAATGAATGTGTTTAATGCTCTTTTAAATGGAGATTTATTTGATGAAATTTACATGTAGTTGCCTCAAGGATTTCAGAGTCAGAGAGTGCATAAGACTGTATGCAGACTCAAGAAATCCTTTTATTATTTGAAAAATGGAATACTAAGTAAACTGAGGACCTCAAATCAATATTAGTGAAGAATGATGCTCCCTGAGTTGATCAAATAAGTCATCAATACGCGGAAAAGGATACTTATTCTTCACTTTTACCTTGTTCACTGTAATCAATACATCCTCATAGTCTCATCCTTCTTCACAAACAACACAGGGGCACCCAAAGGTGACACGCTAGGGCGAATAAACCTTCCACTCAACCCTCGGAATACCATGTATCATTAAGGTCACAATCTTAGCATTACAATCAAGGACAACATGATAAGGAGAAAGTCATTTCATACCCAAGATAACATCAAAGTCTACCATCCCTAGAATGAGTAAGTCTACCTAAACCAAGCCAAAGAAATAAGTCAGGATCGATACACTTGATCCACCACTAAAGGCTCACCAACGGGTGTAGAAACATGAATACGTACAGTCATGCTATCACATATAATATCAAATTTCTGCATCAAAATAGGTAGACACATAAGAGAATATAGTCCCTTGATCAAACAGTACAAACACAGGTCAATGGCATACTGGGATGATACCTATAATAACAGCATCAAAGGTCTCCGCCTCAGGTCTCCCTGGGAAATCATAATAGAGGACTCCACATCCACCTCCAGTCAGGGTGGTACTTCTACCCCCAATCTGTTGAGGTGCAACACCACTACTAGAAACTCTACCGCCTCTACCTGATTGAACTCTGCCACGGCCTCTACCCTATGGTGCCGGCGGATTAGTATGAAATGAAAAATTAGGTTGGGTCCCACCACGACCCCTCTAGAAGTACACTGCCGCATCAGGTGATCGGGATCTCCATAAGTAAATCGAAATCTTTGACCCGGGAACTGTTGTGCAGACCCCTGAAAACCCACTATAATTACCTTGCCCTATATGTCGCTGCTTTGAAACGTACGAGTCCTGACCCGAGCTATAAGAATCTCGAGATAACTAATTACCTCAGACGTCGGCAATAGATGCGTGAATGGGTCCGCGATGCTGAAATAAACCACTCCCTCTATGTGATCACTTGCCTCCAATTAGGCACCATGAAACCAACTTGTTGTACTATCCCTCTTAGGGTCCCCAAACTACTCTGTCTCCATCAATTTCGCCTCTTTGGCGGCACTCACAATTGACTTTGAAGAAGCCCCCTCTCTAGATGCTTTAAACACAGTCGATCTAATTGAGAAAGTTAGCCCCCTCACAATTCTAGGGATCTTCTCTATCTTATGTAATAATGGCCAAAGCATACCTAGACACTGTAAAAAACGCACCTAAAAGATAAGTCGTCTTGTCTCGAATTCTCTAACCTCAAGTGACTCTCCTCTCTCACGCTTAAAGGGATAAAACGATCATGGAAGACACTAGAAAACTTCTCCCAAGTAACCGGAGGAGATCCAACTGGCAAAGGACCTGAATAAGTCCTACACTACTCTCTCGCTGGCCTACGAAGCTAGAGTGTAGCATATCGAACCCCATGTGTCTTAGCTAATCAAACCACCTCGAGCAACTCTCAACACATACTCAGAAACTCTTTAGCGTCCTCACTCTTTTCACCCTGAAACTGAGGTCGGTCCATCTTTCAGAATCTCTCATACATCTGAGATCAAAATACACATTTTTTATCATTATTTACCTCACATTTATCATTTATATTTTTCCGTTTCGAGCATAAATTTTATGTGTTGTTCTAAATTGTGTATTTTATTTGTAGGATTAAATTGGTGAGAAAATTGAAGAAGTTTGAAACTAAAACGAATTAATAATTGAAAGTTGAAAAAGAAAATTAAGCAGAAAACTTAATGAATTAAATTTAATTAAATAATATATAAACATAAAGTGCACATTGCAACATAAAATTTCTTATTGAATTGGGAAACTTGCTGCGTGGCAGCAAGTTGAAGACAAGAGAACTTTTGAGGCGGCAGTACTTTCACGAATAGCTCACGCGGCGGAAAAAAAAGGGAATTCAATTCCTTTTGGTTTTTAATTCCTAATTTAAAGTGTTCTCAATTATTTTATTAAGGATTTTTTTATTTATAAATAATCCATAAAATTATTATTTTGGGAAAGGAGGTCAAGAATCAAGAAACAATACACAGTATAAATTTTTTTCTAGCTTTGAAACATTGTACGAGTCGTCGTAAAGGTCGGAGAATTATGTTTTATTTTTTCTTCTGCTTTATTATTTATTTGTATTCGTGATTAATAAAAGATTTTTTATCTATTGTTCTTAACTTATTATCATCAACACTTTATTTATTTTGATAAATTTTGATTGTGTTATTTAGATAATGAATAGCTAAATTTCATAACTAGAGTTGTGAGAACCATAAACGATTAACTAAGTATGAATAGTAGCTATGTAATTCTCAAAATAGGTTCTTGCATGTATAGATAATTCTTTCGTTTATAAGCGTTTTTAAAGAGTGCACGCGTTAGTTATAACCTTGTTGCTACTTGCCTGTCCAATGAGATAGTAATAAGAAAAAAATTTCAATATAGATTTAGTGTGATACTATCTAATACACTAATGTCGATTGGTGAGAAGTAATAACTAAGTCATACATCAATTATGAGGTAAAGGTAAGGGTTAGTAGTTTATACACACGTAGTCGGACCAAGGTAAGGGGTGAAATTTTCTAGATGCCAGACCAAAGATTTAGAGATACATAACTTACCACTTGACATGCAAAACACTAGGAAAGAATCGCTATTGTTAGCAATACGGCGTTATGAGATTATGAGAACACATTTCAGGTTATTTTTATTAATTTGGATATATATAAATATTTAGTTCAAAGCTATATTTATTGCTTTTATTTTTATTTCAATATAAATACCTCAATTTTTATATAACGACTATTGAGTTAAATATATGTTATTGATAATATTCTTTCATATTCTCTGTGGGATCAACCCCGAATCATAGTTGGGTAAATAAATTGCATACAATCGCTTATATTTTCTTTCAGGAAGTATATTTGAACGATAACAAGAATGGCGCCGCTGCCGGGGAATATGACTTAAAATTGTCTGTACTATTTATTTTAACTTGTAGTTTTTTTTGTTTCTTCAGATTAGTTTTAAATTATATTTTTATTATTATTATTATTATTATTATTATATTTTGTCTACTCTTCTTGAGATTTCATTTGAAAAAAATATGTAGTGAGGAGTGTCCTTTCAATTCTTGCCCAACTAATTTTATGTGTTCTTATAGGGTAAAAAAAATTTCTCAACTAGATAAGTTGTGTGAGGACATGAAAAATTTGGTAACACTTTGCATTAAATCAATATGTAAGAGCCTTAGTGAGTATTTCTTGGAATTTGATCTCTATTATTCAGATATTGAGTTGAGTGAAAAGATTAAATCATATAACACCCAACAATTCTGTAATAATATGTGTGAGGAAGAAAAAATAGTTCAAATAAATTTGAAGAGCTAAAAGTTGAGGGCCAATTGCTTGATCACACTTGTATTGATGTTGTCCCTGTTGAGGAGAGTGCACTAGAGTTATGCAATAAAGTAGATAATATAATTTTTAAAAACTCTAGTATGTGTAAATATGAGGTTGTAAATAATAAAACAATTCATGGGTTTGGACGCATTGGACCTCATTTCAACCACTTTTCCACATTATGTTTAGATGATGAGAAATTGTATGACTCATCTGAGCCTATAGAAGAGTGTATGGAGGAGGAAAATTGTGTCGATATTCTTGAATATTGTTTCAACATCGAAAAATTACATTCCGCACATAGGATCCAAGAAGTGCATAATGCAATATTTGTTCTTTGGGATCTTTATTTTTATACAACCACCCCTTGAGCTTAATAGAAAAATCTATGTGAAATTAGGGGTGCAATTCATATCTTCAAAGTGGAAGAAAAATAGTAAAATTGATAGTGTCATGCCGCGACGTTAATTAAGCATTTAATTGGAGGCAACCCAATTAGTAGTTTAACTGCTTTTTTTATTTTATTTTATTAGTAACACATTTTTTATCTTATTTTTGCAGATTAGGGAAAAGTCTCACTACCCGACCAAAAAAAAAAGGAAAGGAGCACATTTGAGCTTAAGTGTGGGATGACGACCCTTGATATAAACTTAGAGAACATGCTACTAGCTAGGCCTAAAGGCCTCAGGAAGTTTTCCTAACCCTTGTTTTATATTTTATTTATTGCTTTAGGGACATAACATCTTTTTAAGTGTGGGTGGATGAATGATTTCCTAATTTTACTATTTTATTGAGTCTTTTTTTTAAGGATGGGTTCATTGGCTTTTATTTTCGATTCTTTTCCTGAGAATAATCCCTTTGAACCGAGTTTTTTTTAGGAATAAATTTTATTGCTTTTAGTATTATTATTTTTTTGGAGAGAAAAGAAAATACTCTTTTGAAGTATGTGATACTTACTATTTAAACCTAATTTTAACGAGTACTTCTTGTTAATGCTCGATTGCTAGTGAAATTGCAAACCTTTTGACACCTAGGTTAATGAGTGTAACTTATTATGTAGCTTTTTTATTTTGTAGTTTGTTATGATCATGTCTCTCTTAGAAATAGAATTGATTCATCTTGGTTGATACTTGTGCCACGTGTCGTGAGATTTTGTTTGTTCCATATTTTGCATCTTAGTCTAGAACTTGCCTGCATGTTATTAAAGCGAAATAAAAAGTGTTGCTTTGCTTAGGAGATGATGTTAGGCTTTTTTTGATTTGTCTTGTAAATTTTATCCCTTTTGAGATATTTAATCATTAGCTATCTCTTTTGAGCTTGTAGCCTTTTGTTGGTAGCCATATTTTACCCTAACCTATTTTGTTGAATCCCTAATTTTTGCACTTTGCTTCCTTGAGTATTATAACATAGACTTATTCTAATTTTCAGTTTTGAAAAAAAAAGGTATGAATGAGTGAAAAAGTAATCAATCATAGCTACAAAGTGCTTAGAAGTCCTCTTTGAAAGATGTGACATAAAAAAATGTGAGATACAAAAGAAGAAAAAAGAAAAAAATATTATCTTGATGATGACCCTGATCCTTCCAAGGACAATATACAACTTAAATCATGTAAAATATGTAAATTGAGAGTGACTATTATGAAAGAAAAAAAATATGAAAAAAGTTGATTGAAACATTCTTGAGATGATGAGAGTTGTGAAATTCTTTCTTAGAGAGGTTTGTAAATAAAGAGAAGAAAATATTGGGTGATGAAATCTAAAACAAGTAAAGTGCTTAAGTAAGTGTAAATCAATATTATATAGTTTTCCTATCCGTCCCCTAGCCAATATACAACCTGTTAAAGTCCTATTTGATTCAATTCAAGCATGCCTAATTAGTGGAGATTCACATAATAGGCAAGCATATGGTTCTTTGTACATACATGTGAATTTTATTTGTGAGTGTGAGAGTTGTTCTGGATATGAAGTCCATAATTTATTTTCAATCTTTTGAATTGAGGGTGTGGACTATTTCTTCTTATCAGTGCACCTGTTTCATGATTGATAGGTGATTTTATCAACTCTCTTTGATGAGAGTAGGTGAACAAGCTTAGATTGAATGATTGGGAAGTCTACTTGATGTTTTTAAATTGGTATATGGCCTAATTGTTTTTATTGACCAAAGTGATTACATTGCCAGTAGGATTTTTTTTTAGATGAGGGTTAATGTTTGCTCGAGGATCAACAAAAGTTTTAAGTGTGGGGTATTGATGTGAGACCAAAATACACATGTTTTATCATTATTTAGCTCACATTTATTACTTATATTTATCCATTTTGAGCATAAATTTTATGTATTGTGCTTAATTGTATATTTTATTTACAGAATTAAATTTGTGTGAGAATAAAAAAGTTTGGAACTAAAATAATTTAATAATGGAACGTGAAGAAGAAAATCAAACTGACAGATTAGTAAATTAAATTTAATATAATAATATATAAACATAAAGTGCACATTGCAACATAAAAATTTCATCTTTGAATTGGGAAACTTGCTGCCACGTGGCAGCAAGTGAAGACGAGTAATTTTTGAGGTGACAATACTTTCACCGACAGCTCACGCGGCGGGAAAAAAGGAATTCAATTCCTTTTGGTTTGAATTTCGAATTTAAATTGGACTCAATTATTTTATTTAGGGTTTTTTTTTTTATAAATAGTCCATAAAATTATTTTTTGGGGAAGAAGGCCAAGAATCAAGAAACAAAACACAATAGAAATTTTCTTCTAGATTTGGAACATTGGAAGAGCTGCCGTGAAGGCCGGAAAATTGTGGTTTATTCTTTCTTCTTCTTTATTATTTATTTTTATTCGTGATTAATAAAAAATAGTTTAGCTATTGTTCTTAAATTTATATCATTAACACATGTATATTTATTTTAATAAATTTTGATTGTGTTTTTGATATAATGAGTAGCTAAATTTCATAATTAGGGTTGTGAGAACCATAAACAATTAACAAAGTACGAATAGTAACTAAGCAATTCTCAAATAGGTTCTTGCATGTATTGATAATTCTTTCGTATAGACGTCTTTTTAATGAGTACATGTGTTAGAACTAGCCTTGTTGCTAGTTGCTGGACGAATCTTTTTATAAAATAAATTGAATATTTAAACTTTTATGTTTTATAAGTTTGAAATGCGTTTTGTCGAAAAAAGAATTTTATATAAATATATTGTAATTTAAGTTCTTAAATACATTATGCGTGCGTGATTTTTAATAAACCAAGAAAGATTGTAATTTTTTTTTTTGAAAATTCTCACCTATTAAGTTTTTAAATTTATTTTATTTACTTGGCATTAATTTTTTTAAAAAGAATTATATTTTTTGTTTGTGTAACTTCTCGTATTCTAGACAAACTAAAATTAAGTTAAGAAAATCAAGGAGCAACAAATTTGGAAAAAATGGGAAAATCTGGAAAATTTCCAAATTCCAAAAGTGGATTTTGGTCATTTTCGAAGAATCATAACTTCCATCTCAGGAGGATTTTGGGTAGTTCTTTATATGGATGGAAAGCTCGTTGGATGATCTTACCAATGACGTCAAGTTTGCAAATTTCTGAGGTTTTATGAGTGAGATATGACCTTCGGAAGATGGGCTATTGAGCAAGGAAGTTCAAAAACCGGATTTAGAAAGGGTGTTTTCGTCTTTCCCTAAGTCAATTAATTATTTCATTTTGGAGTAATATGTTGGGGTCTAAACTGATCCCATCAATTTACGCACTTAGACAAAAAGACTAGGATTTTGAAAGCAAGAAGAAATGAGGAGAAGGAAGAAGAAGACGCGAGAACACCAAGTTTAGCTTCGTGGATTTTCGTCGTGGGTGATCCCTAATAAGGTATGTGGGCTCTTTTGTGTTGGGTTACTTCACCCACACGCCAATTTATTTCAAATCAATCAAGTTCATGAATTAACTCATGTTAGAGGTTGGAATCTTGAAAGAAAGTTTGACGTTCTTGTCGATTGGATTGTTGTTGACCGCTATTAGTTGTAATCCATGTTTTAGGACTGTTTTCGGGTATCAATCATTGGGTAGTAATTCAATTAGGGATCCTAAGTGTTTGGGGTGAGATCCATGGGAGTTTGGGAAGATTTAGAGATGAAAAACGAAGAAGAAAGTTGAAAAAATCCGTTGGGGGAATGATAGGGCGTCGCGCCTCAAAAGTCCCTCAAAACAGAGTCTATGGACTTCCCCGTCTCTCATAGCGCCGGGACCCCCTGGATATCTCGTTCCTCCCTATCTTTTTGTACTAGTTCCTAAGTGATGTATCCCTCATTCCTAGTTGTTTCCAACACTCTAAGGTACATCTAAACATCATGAAATCATTCATTAGCATGAGATCATGATCCTTGAATCCATAATTCAATTCAAGGAATGTTAGGTCAAAGTCAAAGAAGTTAAGAGCCAAGTCTAGAAGTTAAGAACGAAGCCAAGGTAAGGTTTTTTTGTTAAAGTCTTTCACTTTGTTTTATAGACTTAAAGTTCAAGTCAAGTAAAGAGTTGAATTCATTTCTCAAAAGCTATAAGGGAACTAAATATTCCCTAAGATTTAAAGTATCAAGTTATATAAAGAACAAGAGTGGAGTTCATTTCTCAAAAGCTATAAGGGAACAAAGTATCCTAAGAATTCAAGTTTCAAGTTAAGTAAAGAGCAAGAGTTGAGTTCATTTCTCAAAATTAATAAGAGAAATAAGTAGTCCCTAGAGGTCTACAAATATTTCACATTAGAATAAAGAGAGGAACGAAAAGTTCCAAAAGAGTTTTGAACGAAAAGGGGATCATTGACTCCAAAAGGAAGTTTTTAAAGCTAATAGGTTCAGAAAATTATCTCAACCCAAAGGAAGGACATTTTATTAAAAGCATGAGCTGAAATACATTTTTTGGAGTAGTATTGAGCACCGATGTGGGGACGAGAGTTCATATTAACTCAAGTCTCCATTTAAACCATGTAGACAACATGGGAATTGACATGTCATACTTTTTAGATGATCATGTAAGGAGAGCTAATGGATCCACTAAGTTGAGTAAGGTCTTATACCGATGGCAAGCTGTAGGATAGTCCTCTTGCAACGTGAGGTAAGACGTTGTATCATCACTTAGACTCTTAGTGATGATTGTTAGTTTGAGAAACTTCCATAGAGACGATATTACTTTCTTATATAAGTAAAATTGAGTTTGTTATTGCATTTCCTTTAACTAACTAAGTTGTTTTCACTGATTTATGAGTTATACATACATACATACATACATATATATATATATATATATATATATATATATATATATATATAAACTTAAGTCATATATATATATATATATATATATATATATATATATATAAACTTAAGTCATTGTTTACCTCTCCAACTCACATACTCGTATATTGTATATACTGATGTCAGTTGGCCTGCATCGTTTTATGATGCAGATGCAGGTACCCAAGTCTGCACGCAGTGCTTCGTTGATTCCAGATTGAGCTTCAGAGTTTCTAGTGAGCCTTCTTGCATTCTGGAGGACATCCTTTTTTACCTCTATATTAGCTTAGATTTTTTAGGATGTTGTGAGGTCTTTCCCAACATCCCTCTCTAGATAATTTAGAGGCTTCATAGGTTATAGTATTTCGAGTTGTTTTTAGTTATTAAGACTCAAATGCCTTTTTGGAAAAATTTATGACATGACATATTTCCCTTTTATTATGTTTTACTCGTGTCAAAGTTGAGGTTTGTCTTCCGAGTTTTTGGACCAAGGGTTTGATTTAGGGACAACAATGGCCTTCGAGTGCCAGTCTCGCCCTAGGTGTAGGCTCGGGGCGTGACATTTTGTTTTTAAAGAAAAATCTATTTAAGTTGACAAAAGATGAATATGTTATATTATTACTATTTTTTTTTCAGTTGAAAAAACAAAATATTGAATATAGTGTGAAATAATTAAACAACCAACTCACAAGATTAGAACATAAAATTTATACTTTGTTAAGTAGTTTAATTATGAAGTCATTTTTGCAATAAACAAAAAATTAATGAATAAAAGGCAAAGTTAATAAACGATATGATATAAGCGTTTCACAGTCAAAAGTACACATTTACTCCCTTTTCCTTACTGTAATATTGCAATAAACAATTAATCAAATAAATCACAATTCTATTTCATCAAGCATTTAGATAACCATATGAAAATAAGAACATACACACTTCATTAAAATGAACTCAACTTAAATTCTTCCTTTTATTTTATAATATAATAAGACATACTATAAATTTATTACTATTAATTTATGGTAGTAAAATAAAGATTGACATCTTAGTTCATATTCATACTTAGTAATGATGCCAACAAAGATTACAAAGAACATTCTCACGGGCTGATGATTTATCATATGATGGATAATAGTAAAAAACACACCTGATGTATTGAACTGGCATAACTCGAGTTGTGAAAGGATGATAAATAATCGGTGCGTTTCCACCACCATGTGGAATAACATGTGGGTGAATGAAGCGAGATCGAAGTATGGAGGACGAAGCAATGACTTACTATTAATTCGATGATAACTCCTAAAAACAGTCACAATTAGCACAAATAGATTCTTCTTTAGTTCCATCATCACCCTTATTCACAAATTCACGACATCCATCAACCGAATAGTAACCAAACTTAGTAGCATGATTTTTTAGACATGTACCATATTTTATCGTCATACCACCATTTGGATTTGAGCTTGAGTTTCTTGCCAGTTGTGTTTTTTTTTGTTGCTAAATACTTAAGGGGGAAGTTTTTATTTTTGCCATTTGGTTTGATTTCAACAAGTCATTAATAGTGTGAATTTTTTAGTTTAATTTTCAACAGATAATTTATTTTCTATTGACATAATTTATGATGAGATTATCTATAGTAAAGTAAATTTACTTAAGTGATATTGCATTAAAAACACCTTTAGCACAATGTTTGAATATATATAGTTATAATAATGATTTAAATAATTGTGTGTGTGGATCATGTGTACCAATTTCGTGTACCTATGGGTGAGTTTCTAATAATGGATCGTGTGTATCAATTTTGTGATTGTCTTGATGGTAGGGTGACATCCTTGGTTAGACTTGTTCATTCCAGTTATGAAAGATTTGTTGTTGTTGGGATAGTTGAAGTATACTTGTTTATGAGTGTTTATAAGAGATCTACCATGAAAAATTTACAGTTTTTTCAATAGACTTAAGATTTATCTAATCCTCGGTATCATGTATTGGATATGTGCGGTTAAATGTGAGGACCATTGAGTCCAATTTTTTCATTCTTGAGGTTTATCTATATTGGCTACTAATCTAGAATTTTGATCTTGTTGTTAGAGGTTATGTATGATCGAGTGTATCACTCGATGATGATTACTTAATCATTTCCATCTTTGGATCAGATGAGTTTGTTTCTCCTAGATGTTTACTTGATGTTTAACAATCACATTTTATTGTAGATTATGCTCGAGGAAATATTTTATGTGAGAGGAAAATCTTAATAAGAAAGGTTTGTGTATTAAGAGTGTGTAGTGGTTGGTTTAGGTTCACTTCATATTGTAACCAATATTGATTTAAAATTTTACCATGATTATGTGAAAAAAATTGTCTTGATTATTGTGTCAATGTCCTTGAGAATATGTTGCAGACATGTGTACAATTAACTTTTACTTGATTTTGAAAATATTTTATGTTGTCAGTTGAGTTTACATATAATAATAGCTATCACTAGAGTATCGAAATGGCCTCATTTGATACATTGTATAAGAGGATGTGTAGGTCTTCAATTGGTTGGTTTGGTACATTTATGGTGAGGCCTTGGGAACTAATCTTTTTGAAAGAATCGTTAAGACAACTACCCTTCCTACTTTCGCATTTCTTTGATCGTTCAAGAAATAACGATGGGTAAATTGATATCTATTGTATCAACTCGTTATGATTTCTTAAGAACTATAACTATTTGGACTACAACTAGAACTATTTGGACTCTTTCCCTAAATTTTACAATGGGTATTTTGAACTATTAGACAATTATGAAACTTATGTGTAGTCTCTGTAACATTTTTTGTTGGTGGTTAAGAAAAAATAACATTAAAATTAGTAATGGACCACTTTTATCATATTTATAATTAGTCATATACTATGTAAGGTTAATATTATTAGGTTATACCATAAACTTCTCACAACTCTTGGTTTTGGTTCTCAACGCCATGGACAAAGATCGACAGAAAATATTAAGGTAGAAACTTCATTCAATTCTCAATTTTATTGTATAAACGATGGATGGTTTGACGGGTATTGATTGTTGTTAATATTTTTTTGTTACTTTAAAAAACGATGCAGTTACAAGTGTGGAAATTATAATTTAAAGAAAAAGTGAGGAAGGTCTAATGATGACTTTCAAATTTTGGGAAAAGATATTTAGTAAGTTTTGAGCTTTCACATTATGCTTGTAGTTTGTAAGTAGGCTTAAATTCGGTTGTTCTCGCACCTAGGGAGTTAAGTGTGGTTGTCACTCACGACTCGTTTTTTGTCGTGATAGTTAATTCCTCCATCTTAACATCCCTTTGGGTTACAGTGTGTTAGATACACAAACTTATTATCAAATATATATATATAGCAAAACTTCAAATTGGAAAATATGAAATAGAGACTTTCGCATTAATAGATTCAAGATGTACCAAAAATATTTTAAATAAAAAAATTGTACCTCCAGAATTAATAAAGACTTTAGAAAAACCACTTGCAGCTATGCAAATGAATGGAACACATAATATATTAAGATACTACATACATAAAGCACAAATAAATTTTTTAAATACTTGTTCAGATTTCTATAAACCTACCTATAAGATGGATAAAATATGGGTAAGAGATTTAGATATATGAGTAGACTTTGTGTTAGGACTAGATTTTATACTATGCAATAAAGGAAGAACTTTAATAACGAAAGATGGGATACTTTTCATGAAAAATATTACTTATACTTCGGTTTTAACTAGTAAAATTGACACTAAAGTAAGACATAAAGAAAAATATTGTGATAATTATGAAAATAATATAGAATGTACTAAAACGGGATGTAATACATTATACGAGAATATACTAGAGATAGATAAAGAAGATGACATAGTTAATAAAAACTATGTTTTAATAGAAATGGAAACAGAGTTATATAATTTTAAGACATGAATTCAAAAAATTGGACAAATAAAAAATCTACAAGATCTAGATAATATAGTAAAAATTTTAGATCAAATAGAAATAATAGGAGAAAAGCCTCTAAAGTATTGGGAAAATAATCATGAAGTATGTAAGCTAGACATAATAAACCCAGAATATAGAATAAAAACAGCCTCAATAGAAGTTACAAATCAGGATCTAGAAGATTTTAGAATACAAATTAAACTATTAGAATTAGGAGTAATAAGAAGATCTACTTCAAAACATAGATTAGCAGCATTTATGGTAAGAAATCATAGTGAAATAATTAGAGGAAAAGCTAGAATGGTTATAAATTACAAAAGACTAAATGACAATACTAAAACAGACGGTTATAAATTACCAGATAAAACAGAATTGATAAATAAAATTCAACGAAAAATAATTTTTAGTAAATTCGACTGTAAATCAGGATACTGGCAGATAAAAATGCATCCAGACAGTATAGAATGGACAGCTTTTAACTGCCTGAAGGACATTTTGAATGGTTAGTCATGTCATTTGGGTTAAAAACAGCACCTCAAATTTTCCAAAGAAAAATGGATAAAATATTTGGAGAATATAAAAAATTTGTTTTAGTATATGTAGATATTCTAGTATTCAATAAAAATATTAAAGAACACTTAGGGTATTTACAAACAGTTTTTAGATTATTTGTTAATAATGGAATAATAATTAGCAAGAAGAAAATAGAATTATGTAAAAATTATATAAACTTTTTAGGAATTACTTTAGGAGAAGTAAATGTTAAACTACAACCTCATATAGCTAAAAAAGCTCTGGACATGCTAGATAAATTAAATAATCTAAAAGATTTACGAAAATTCTTAGGTAGAATTAATTATGCAAGACCTTTTATTAAAGATTTAGGAAAAATGGCAGGACCATTATACTCTAAGATAGGATCTAAAGGACAAAGAAATTTCAATATGGAAGACATAAAATTAGTACAAAATATAAAAGAAAAAATAAAAAATATTCCCGATCTTAATATGACATTAGAATCAGACTATTTAATAATAGAAATAGATGGAAGTTTTGAAGGATGGGTTGCAATATTAAAATCAAGACCACATAAATATAGTTCTAAACAGGAAGAAAAAATATGTGCTTATCAAAGTGGAAAATTCAAAGAAAAGGTTAATAAAGCTAGTATAGATGTTGAAATTTTAGCTGTAATATATGGTTTAAATAGTTTTAGAATTTATATTCTAAATAAACCAGAAGTATTAATAAGGACAGATTGTGAAGACATAGTAAAATTTCATCAAAAAATTAGTGATAAAACTAGTAGTAGAAGAAGATGGCTAAATTTCGTAGATACTATAACAATTTATCATTCTATAATTTTTGAACACATCAAGGGAAATGATAATAGTATTGCGGATCATCTAAGTAGATTACTGATCAAAGTTTAAATTTTACAGAATGAGACCTCTACTATCAGACAAAGGTAAAAGAGTTCA